CGACGTGTTACACCGACCGAGCAGTTTGTGCAGCACCTTTTTGGGACAATGTTTCTCGTGTTTGATCCATGTCCGTGACGTGTCTTGTGTCTGTTACATGTTGTTGTACCTCCTGTGTCTGTTGTGTGTCTTTTTGATAACACGCCACTTGTCTCGTGTCCGTTACACGCTACGTGCCTCATGTCTGTTACATGCTACACGCCTACAAGCTATGTGCCTCATGTCTTCGCGTCCTTTACACGCTTGTGTATGCTACAACACGTGAAATCCCCCCCCCCCCCCCCCGCATTGCTCTGGAGTATATGAATTCAAATCCTCGATGTGTGGTTTGAACCCACAATGATAATAACAATAATAATAACAATAATAATAATAATATTCCTGACATTTGACTCAGCGCCTTATTGTGTCGTCGACATGTCTCAAAGCGCTTCACAGGACATATTGCAATGCGAATTGACTGTGTATTTTATGGGCAAATCGTGGCAGTAAATTGCGTACAGCAGCGCCCCACAAACAGTCGTGGATTGAGTGACCGATTTTTTTTGAAGGGATTATTACCCTCGGAAACGTCCGCCAATTAACTAACAACTGGGTGTGTCCGTCTGTGGGGAGGAAGGAAACTTGCCCAAGTTTTGCCCTGACCTGACCCGCCCGGGAATCGAACCCGGGTCCTCTCGCTTGTGAGGCGAAGGCTCTAACCACTGAGCTACAGGACTGTATCAAACGCTCGGAGGCAATATCTCGCGTGAAGAGTGGTATTTAAATACAAGTTGTTGTTGTGGTTGGGGCGTTGGTGTATTTCTCTTCTGTTCCACACCTCACTCCTGTCATCATCCCGTGTAGCTCAGTGGTTTCCTCACTCCACACACCTGATACCAATCCATCAAGAAATAAATCCACAACACTGTTTGTGGGGGGACGCTCCAGTGTGCAATTGGCTGCTGCGTTTCACCCACAAAATACACAGTCACTACACTTTATAGTATAGTCTGTGAAGCGCTTTGAGACGCCTCTGAGACGCTGCATCAAATCCAAGGATTATTATTACATTATATAACCCTTCGGTTGTTTCGCTGCCCCCCGTTACTGTTTATCTCCCGCCCCACCCCCCACCCACCCCATCCTCCTCACCTTCACTCTTTGCCCCTTTCCAGGCCCCCAGGTGGCAAAGCGGGTTCCGTGTGGGCTCCGGAAAGTTCCACTGCCTTCAAATGCCTGATCTCCGCCCGCTTCTGTGCAGCGCTGCATCTATCGATCTCAGTCTTGAATATGGTCAATGACTGACTGAGCGTCCACAGCTTCTGGGGTAGAGAATTCCATCAATTCACTACCCTCTGAGTGAAGAAATTTTCCTCAACTCAGTTCTAAAGGACTGACCTTTAATGCTGAGGCTATGACCATAGTTCTGGAAGGTTATTATGAACTCCCAGTGCCAATGACACGCACACAACAGCCAGTAACTCACCATAAATGTCCGGCCCGTGAGGAGTGAACACATTGTACATGACGATGCTGAGAGGAGCCACCACCAACCTCCCATAGTAATAGCTGTCGACGGCCACGAGGGGGACCTGCAACACAACGGTCAAGCGAAGGGCCACATTTTAACCAGGTTCCTGGGCAGCAATAATTAGCCTCACATTGGATACAGGGCCTGGGGTGGGGGTCAGGAGGACATCTCAGAGCTTCACCGGGAACGCGGTAAAGTGCAGCGACTTGTCTTTTTCTAAGCCCTAACCCGGCAGCCAATTTGTGCCCATAGACAACCCCACAAACAGCCACGAAGTGACCGAGGGATTTTATTTGGGAGACTGTTGCCCTTGACAAGGGGAGAAGGGAAACTCCCTTCGTCTTTTTGAACAGTGCAGCGGGACCATTAACCTGATGGAGCTCGGCTTAATGTCTTATCTGAAGGACGGCATCTCCAAAAATGCAGTGTTACTTCCCCTCCGCCCCCCCAACCCCATCATACCTGTCCACTCCCTCCGCTCAGCGGGCTCCGACCTGCTCCGCATCCCCCGCCTTCCCCGCCCCACCGTTGGCAATCGGGCCTTCAGGCTCTCTGCCCCCACCCTCTGGAACTCCATCCCGCAGTCCCTTTGCCTCACCCCCTCCCTCGCCCGTCTTAAAACCCTCTTCTTTGACCGCACCTTCAGCCACCCTCCACAGTGAGCCCCATTCCCTTCAGTGTAACACAGTGAACCCCATTCCCTTCAGTGTAACACAGTGAACCCCATTCCCTTCACTGTAACACAGTGAACCCCATTCCCTTCACTGTAACACAGTGAACCCCATTCCCTTCACTGTAACACAGTGAACCCCATTCCCTTCACTGTAACACAGTGAACCCCATTCCCTTCACTGTAACACAGCCCTCTCTAACCCACAGGTTTACAAACCTACCAGAAAGAGCAACAAAGCTACAAGAGTCCAGGTGACAAAACTCCGAGTTTTTCTCTTCACGAACAGCAGATCAAACGCAATTGGCAGTCTGGGAAACGAGGAGAAATAACAATAACGATGACGATAACAATCCTCGCATTTGATATACGGCCTCATCACGTCTTCGAGATTGTCTCAAAGTGCTTCACAGGATACGCTGTACAGTGAATTGACTGTGTATTTTGTGGGCGAAACGCGGCAGCCAATTGGGCACAACAGTGTCCCCACAAACAGCCGTGCGTTAAGTGACTGTGTTTTTAATATGGGATCCTCGCAATCTCAAAGCGCATCGCAGGATGTTACTGGAGAGTGGAGTGATTGAGTATTTTCTGGGGAAGCCAACTTCCTACACTAACATCCATGAAGCTAAACCCCTTCCCCACTGCCCTCCACCATCCCCGCGCCCCCTGCCCTGCCCTCCACCCCTCCTGACCCCCCCAACTCCCAGCTTGGGTCCAAGAATCCCTTGACTGTCCAGCGCCCTGGGGCGTCTTTTTCACTGCTTCGCTCGGCCCGTGGATAAGCGGGTCATGGGAGGGTGGGGGAATGATTTAGGGGCAGGCAGAGGAGGGGGGGTGGGGGTTGGGGGGGGGGTGTAGGGGAGAAGGGAAACTTTCTTACCCAAGTGCTGCACTGAAAGGCCACCCTATAATGGCTCCCGCTGCCACTCCCAGCACAGCCAGGCCGTGTGTCTCTGTGTACCAGCCTGACATCGCGATCAGCGTGGTGTACATACAGAAGCTGCTGGGGAGGTAAGCTGCAAAACAGTCAGCACATTTAGCTTTAGGTTATAAACTGCATAAATATATATAACATACAGTTTATTCGTTTACAGATCCTGTGTATATATTTACACACACAAGTTGATATCTTTATTTTATTAATACTATCATGTTAATATACAGTTAAAACATCGTGATAACTATCTTATTATCTAAAGATAAAGTATACATATAATCATCATTTCTTTAAGACTTATTGGACATTGTGATGGTATTATTTTTGGTCACCCTGTGTATAAATGTACACACACAGACACACACAGACACACACACAGATACACACACACACACAAAGATACACATATACACAGACACACACAGACAACAACAAGATTGCATTTACAGAGCGCCTTTCACGTCGGGAGGACGTCCCAAGGCGCTGGACAGTTGGGTCAGGACCCGAGCATTGGGGGGGGGGAAATGGTCAGGGTGAGGGGAGGGAAGGGAGGGAGCGAGGAGGGGGTCAGGGGAGGGAAGGGAGGGAGCGAGGAGGGGGTAGAGAGTTGAGAGGGGATCTGAAGGCTGAAGGTCAAAGAGAAAGGTCTTGAGACCGGCCTTGAAGGAGGAAAGGGAGGAAGCGGCGAAGGCACTGGGATGGAGTTCCAGAGCCTCGGGGCTGAGAGGCTGAAGGCCACCGATGGTCAGGCGGTTGGGGCGGGGGATGTGGAGCAGACCGGAGCCAGAGGAACGGAGGGTACGGGCAGGTAGGTAGGGGATAGTAGGTCGGAGAGGTAGGAGGGAGCGAGGCCGTGAATGGCCTTGTAGGTGAGGATGAGGATCTTGAATTGGATCCTCTGGGGGATGGGGAGCCAGTGGAGGCGAGCGAGAGTGAGGGCGAGGGTGAGGGTGGGAGTGATGTGGGCGCGGTGTCTGGTGCGGGACAGTACACGAGCTGCAGAGTTCTGAATAATAATAATAATAATAATCCTTGCATTTGATATAGCGCTTTTCACGTCGGGAGGACGTCCCAAAGCGCTTCACAGAACACACTGTAAAGTGAATTGACTGTATATTTGTGGGCGAACGCGGCAGCCAATTGCGCACAGCAATGTCCCACAAACAGTCATAGATTGAAAATGATCAATTTATTATTGTTTTTGGTTTTGGAGGGATTATTATTAGGCTCTGTGTGGAGTAAGGAAACTTGCCCGAGGTTTCGCCCTCTGCCTGGAATTGAACTCAGGTCTCTCACTTGCAAAGCGAATGACCTGCAGCTTGTGGAGGGAGGTGCCGGGAAGGCCGGCGAGGAGAGAGTTCCCATAGTCCAGCCTTGAGGTGATAAAGGTGTGGACCAGAGTTTCAGCCGCGTGAGGGGTGAGGGAGTGCCGTAGTCTGGCGATGTTCCGGAGGTGATGGAAGGCGGTGCCAGTTGTGTCTGTGTGTATATCTGTAACACACAGATACACACACAGACACATACACAGACACACACACACATAAATGTAAGTTGTACTTATATATAGACGGCTGATACAGAGCTTCTGAGGTCGGGAGCAGCTCTCAAAGCGCTTGGCGGGATTTGATGGTAAAGTGGAGTGACTGTGTGTGGTATTGTAGGAGATCGTCAGCCGACTGGGTCCCAGCCGTGTCCCCCAAACAGCCCGAGATGTGACTGCGAGACTCTACCTCGCAACATTTACATTTACACAGCGCCCACCCCATACCGGGCTAGCGCCCCAGGGCGCTCGACAGTGGGGGAGTCTGACCCCCAACCAGGGGGAGAGGGAGGGAGTGGGGGGGAGCAAACTGGAGGGATTGAGGGAGGGAGCTGGT